GCCATCTGTCAGGGGAGGGTCTGATCTGCCACAGGGCTGAGGAGCTGGGCAGAACAGGCACCTTTTCCAAATGTAGCCAAAGGGAACCAGGGTTCCCCACCAACCTGGTAATGTCTAAGCTGGTTTCCCAAATATTGCTGGGCTTGGCAGAGGCCTGCCTGCTTGCTTCACTTGCTTTGGGCTGCAAAACAGATTTTTTTAAGGTGCTAAAATCCAGATCCTTGTATGTTAAAAATCTGTCTTCACTGCCCAGACCTCTGGCTGTGCCTGGAGACTAGCCTTCAGGCACACATACAACCACCCCTCACCCCCCCACCACCCCAGCTTCCACAGCACTTGTGACATCCTCAGGTGAGCAGGGCAGTCACAGGGCAGTCAGCCTGTGGTGGGGCTTAGGGACAAGAAAGTGTCCGTGTGTCCTGGGGAGTGTGTGTGTGAGGGGCACGCCTGGCAACGAGCAACATATCATTAGGGGCCATGTGCAATCTCTGTCCTGCCTTCAGCTGTGCTGGTGCTGCCCTGTAGCAGGTGCCCCAGTGGAAAGCAGCAGCTGGGGCCATCAGACCCAAGAGCCCAGGAAGGGGAGGCAGCACTGCAGAAGGGGCTTGTGTGGCACACTACAGCTCCTAGCTCAGTAGTGCAACTGTGAGGGCCCCTTTCTGCGGAGAAGTGGGAGCCTGAAAGCAAGTAATGGGCAGCTGACCTCTGCTCTTCCTTCCCTCCAGGCCCATGGGGTAAAAGGCAAAAGCAAATGGCTGCTGCCCTGTGTCCAGCCAGTGCTGCCATGTAGGGCTCCAGGCTGGTTGGTTGCTGCAGGGTTAGCTGCTGAGGGATGGGGGGGGGGCAGATGCACACTCCAAGCCCCCAGAGCCATGACGATGCTATTCCTTGTGCAGGATTTTGCGTTGGAAACCCAAGCCTGTGGCTCACATGCTCTTTTTCTCTTTCTCGTGTTGTTACTCGTCACTTTTAAATTCCTGTGTTTGCCCCGCCATATTTACCAGGTGAGACATAGCCTAGCTGTGCCCCACAGCTATCCCTGCTTTGGCCCTGAGCTGGGCCCAGGCGGCTCAGGCTGAGAGAGGTAGGGGAAGGCAGTGGCTTTTGAAATCATTTGGATTAAGGTGCTGACCCTGCTCAGGCACTGGAAGGATAACCTGCATCCTTTGTAATACCTCCTTGAGGATACTGTCCCCACCTTTCCCCT